ACCTGGGACAAGCTGATGGCATAAGATGTAAGTACAACTCCTCCAGTTTCATATGCAAAAAAAATTATTGCGCTAGCTTACGTGGTTGCAGAGCTACCTGGATTTAAAAATAGTTACGCAAAACGGAGCGTGCCCGCTCTGACCGGCTTTAAAGGGTTAAAAACTCTTGAGTGCAACTCTAAACTACATTTTGATGCATCAGAAATAAATCCTAGATGCATTTTAGTGGTGGCAGTAAAAGGTGGCCATTTCAGTCAGCGTGACATTCTTGGAAACCTTTGAAAAAAATTCTGCCAGTTGGGTTTTTATAACAAATTCAACCTGGACTCAGAACAGGCGGCTCCAGGGAGGACGAGGTCAGTATGACCAGATGTATTTATTTATTTAGTTACAATTTTTCAACCTTTTTTTCTCTCTCTCTCCTGTAGCTCTTGCTTTTTTTCCCTTGCTGTCCCTTCTCTTCAGGTAACTTCACGCTTTCTCTGGAGCAACGTTAGCACTGTGGCGATCTGCAATTACTGGCCGCACCGATCTGCTCTCTGCGTGTTGTTACAAACTGCCTCCACTTCCTTTGGAACCCGGCACGCTCTGGGCAGACGGCGCCCCTCCCTGCGACTGGTTTTGTTGTGTGTTTCCCTGTTGCGTATTAAATCATTACCAGTGCTGCTGAGCTCTTCCAAAAAAAGGGTAATTATTGCGGTTTTCTCTATAAAATCTGAGTATTTGTAAAGCAGTTTGTGGCTTGTTTTAGAAAATTGCTACATAATTATTATTATTACTACTTTTATTACTGTAGTCTATATGAAATAAATCAAATAAAATTATTACTGTTCTATCTGGCCACCGAGTCTGGGCAAATGTACAGTAAGATTTTTATGCTTTTCATGTCAGGGTCCATGTCAGGTATGGTGAGGGCAAGAACCTTTCAAAATATTTACAATGTGATGTGATGTCATTTATTGTATGAGAAACAATCCGGGGGACTAATCAGATCCTCAGACAAAGACAAAAGACAGAAAATTGCATTGTTTTGGGAGGGGGGAACCGAGCGAAGGCAGCAAAGCATGACTCATCTCTGACCAGCTCTGTTTGGTCTTGTTACCCAGGCTACATGCTTGAGTCATCTGAAGCTTCAATGTCATGATGATCTCTCAAGCACAGACACAACAAGTCAGCCTTTGCCCCGGTACAGGGGAGAGCTGACTCAAGCAATGAAGGTCACTAAGAAGGGATTAGTCAGTTGATCAGCATCCATTTGGCTCAAACGAGAAAAGAAGCAAAGCCGGCTGAATTCGAGCTGTCTACAGATGACTGAATATGTTACATGCAATTCAAATTACTTCAATCAGTTCCCTTTTTTTTTTTTTACTCGCTCTTTCCTCGTACGATATGCAAAATAACTCATCATCGGATCTTTGTAATGACTGCTGATGCTACGGCGAACTTTTGATATCATCATTAGTGATGAACGTACGCCGTAAGCACAAACTTCAGCGGGAGTTAAAATTGTCTCCTTTAACTTGTTTTTATCTGTTTGCTGGCTGTGAAAACACCGAAACAATAGAAAAAGTATGTAGCGCTTACCACTGTAGGTGACGATACGGATGGCGGAGTCCCCCTCGCCGAAACGCGTGATGGGCGTGAGGCGCACCTCGTAAGACTCGGGCTTTATCAGCTCAGTCAGGTTATGCGTCATGAGCTCTCCTTTGTTGATCGTTCCATCCACTGGGATCTCCTGCTCCCACCAGCGCTGGAGCCCCATCTGTGTCAGAAGAAGAACCACATGAGGTTTGGGATATTAGACATTTGCTAGTTCTCTTTATAACTAACAGATTTTCAAATAGCAAAATGTTCCTGCTGCTGTTGAGGATTGGTATGTTCCCCTTCACCCTTTGTTCTATTTTTCCACCTTTCTGCTCCACATCTGAGCAATCAGCATCAATATGATGCAGTATATGGTATACTTGACAGACTCCTCTTTCT